TTGATTGATTGATTGATTGATTGATTGATTGATTGATTGATTGATTGATTGAAGGCAACCTGTTGAAAATTGTGTAATTGGTTTAGGCTTATGGTGTAAGAGGTGAAGAGGCATATTTCCAGCAGTTTTGTTAATCACTACCCAAGCCACTATGAATAAAATTTAATAACTGCTTAAAATTTTGTTTCCATTGCATTTCATCAGATGACCCTCAAGAGGAATTCTTAGATGAAAATCTTAAGGCAAAGCGTCTTAAGTTATCCAATGATGCCATCTTGAGCATATCAAAGTCACAGGACAGACGACGCTGGACTTCAAAGAGAGGAACACACATCAGCAAGTTTAGAAGATATGAGATTTAAATGGTTATCCACAGTTTGTGATCAAATTGTGGTAATTAGTACCAGTGTTCAGAAGATGGTTTATTCGTTAGAAACTTCATACTTCATTGACGCTGATCCATAGATCTGAGATTTTGAATCCAATATTGATCTGAAACACTGTTATTCAAAAGCTGACAGAGTCAAAGTTGACAGTACAATGTAAATGGTACATTTTGAATATAAATATTTAACTTGTATGCAGTGGAGTAAGCAGACTCGACTCTTTGAAAATTCTATAGTTTGTATTTAACTGCTTTGACTCAATCAACTTGTACAGAAATAGTATGAGTTCCAAATGGGCACTTACAAGTGTAATGGCAGAACTTTGTACAATCATGTAAAATATAATCACAGTCTGTGGAAATATACTCACTTTCAAAAAATTGATAATATTTATGGTCAATAGTATAAGTAGATGAAAATTGAGTCGTTGTGTTCAGCAGAACGCAGATCTAATCGCATAATGCATAAAAATTCGAGACCTGTGTATCTATCTATCTATCTATCTATCTATAGGGGACACCAATTTTACCCCCGCCCCCCAAAAGAAAGAACAGCAAATTAAACCGCTTAGTGAATAACAGTTTATTTATTTTACATGAATGTAAATGATTATGTTGTTCTGGTCCCCTTTAGTCTCAGGTCATTGAAAGTAAATTAAAAATAACAAACAAAACTTGGCATAGACGCAGAACCTGAATTATGAAATTGTGCAAACCAAACCGAATTTCCCTTTAGGCAAATGAGAAGATTTTCATAAATGCAAATTGAATGGGAGCTTTAAAATTGCTTACAGGCCAGAGTTTAAACTTGTTCTTTTGTTTACGTTTTGAATTCATGCTGAGTTTACATCAAAACATGAAATTTTGAAGGCCTACTATTTTTGCGAGTCTATGGAAACTGGTGCCATCACACAACATTTGAACAGCNTTCTGGTCCCCTTTAGTCTCAGGTCATTGAAAGTAAATTAAAAATAAACAAAACTTGGCATAGACGCAGAACCTGAATTATGAAATTGTGCAAACCAAACCGAATTTCCCTTTAGGCAAATGAGAAGATTTTCATAAATGCAAATTGAATGGGAGCTTTAAAATTGCTTACAGGCCAGAGTTTAAACTTGTTCTTTTGTTTACGTTTTGAATTCATGCTGAGTTTACATCAAAACATGAAATTTTGAAGGCCTACTATTTTTGCGAGTCTATGGAAACTGGTGCCATCACACAACATTTGAACAGCAAATCAGCCATCGCAGTCTATACAGGGGACCTCTTCTCTGGCATGGACTTTGACTCTATATCTGTCTGTGTAAAACCTCAGTTGTTCATAAAAAATGTTGATTTTAGCAATAGACCGAGGTTGAAAGTCAGCTAGTTAAGTCATTTAAGGTATATATATGAAAGTGACGGTGTCGAGCGCACTCATGATCTTTGATTACTACTAGTATTTTACAAAATCCACAGGTTTTCACAAAGAATTCACACAAAAAGGGTTACATATTAACTAAAGGTTTTAAGTATCAAGCAAGAAGGGAAAAGCATGAATCGGGAAATAGCAGGAAATGGCAGGTTCTGTTGTGCTTCTTTTCCCTTTACTCTTGACAAACTACATGTAAGAAAACAAAAGACATATCTTAGTGTGGCCTGATCACAGATTAGAGTTAAATATTACATGCAACACTTTATTATTGTCCTAAGTTTGCAATTTTACATGTATCAGAAGAAGCTTACATTATTTTTACTTGTGAAGAAAAACTCTGAAGTTTCCTTGAACTACAAATGTTGTTCAGGTCTAAGTAAGTATTAAATATTACTTAATATTGTGTTATTGTGTGAGTGAATTTTGTAGTAGTGGCTTCATCTTATCATTCAAGAATAAAGTATGTCTTAATTAGATTCCACAACGTTTCTGTTTGATGCTAACATTGATTCAAACAAAGGTTTAGGCCCATCCACATTATGCCGGAGAAATTTGAAAACTGTGTTTTCTCTCTGAAAACCCATCAAATGTTTTCAGCCACCCTACGCCAGAGAAATTTGAAAACACAACAATCACCGATCATTTTGGATTTGTGTTTGCGGGAAACCCGGGCAGGGAAATTACATGATTTATCATTATTGTGACTTCATCATTTTCAAAAATCTCAGTTTCCCACATGAAAATGCAAAACTTCTTCCAGTTTGAAGGGCGTTTTCAAAAAGCTCTGCTTTCACGACGGATTAGTGTGGACAGTAAGCCTAAGCATAGAAATAAAGCTGTGTTTTCAAATTTTGACTCAAACAAACATTTGAAAAATCGCACTAGAATGTGGAATTAGGAAATGTAATCCATGCTGAAAGCAATAGATGCTTTGTTCAAGGCATCTCTTATGGTCAACATTGAAAGTATTTCAACACCAATTTCCAGCAACCCTTCTTCCTGGCACATGTTAACAACCTGTAACCATCTGTCCATATCCATGTTGTCACTCTTTGTTTCGTTAAACAAGGCATCTGTCATCACTGCAGACAAATCCTCGGTGTTACTCTGGGAGAGATGCCTTAACACGTTCAGCAGCATCTTGTGTTGGTTGTCATCTAGAAGAGCTCCGACAACAGAGGCAAAGCTTAGTAGGCCAACCTTTCTATCGGGCCCAGGACTGCTTAGCATAAGCTTAGCCAGTTCAGGCGAAGGATTCCTTAATAAGATGGCCCTGTAATCCTCCGTTGTGAACTTTGTGTGCTTCCGTGCATAGTTCAACATGATTGAAAACTTTTGCTGTCCACAAAGGCAAGCAATCACCTGGTGATGGGCACCAACTTTCATGTAAATAGTTTGTGCCAGAGGCAGGCATGTGCAGGTACAGTTTTGTTCACATTTGCAATAACTACGAAAAGCATCACCTAGTGGGATGGAGTACGTTAGCTTTTCTTGGGCAAGCCAGTGTGTAGCCAGATCAAGACGTCCTTGACTCAGAGCACATCGAATACACTCAGAGGACATGGCTCCAGTTAGAGGCTGTGCCGCAGATGCTGTCGCCATCAGGGCATCGCAAAAGATCAATAGAGGAGACACTTCACCTTCTTGGACCTCAGCTTGTTTGAATTTAATCATTGTTTCATAAGTTCTGAGAATTCCCATTGGTGAGTTGGCAGCATGCATTGCAGCCAATTCAAACTGGCCAAAGTCAAATAAATTGTTGAAGTGATCAACGTATTCAATTAAGCGCTCTGCTTCTTTCTTCTTTAAGGGATCATCCTCATCAAAGCTTGCAAAGAACTGCAGTGAATCACTTTTCTTTCCATACTTGCTGTTGCCATACTTTGCTAGTTCTCGGAATACAACATCAGTAATGTGCACATCCTGGTCTGGATTATCAACCACCGATCTTCCTGCCTGATTGTGAAAAAGCAAATTCAAATTTCAGACTATCTGGCAATCAAATGTAGTATTCATATCATCTTCTTCAAAATGAACACAGGCTAATAACCTGTCTTAACTGAAAGAGGAGATCATATACCTCCCATACTCTTCTCTAAAGCAATCAAGATGGCTGGACTTATGTGATATGATTATTATTGGTATCTAACCCATTTGCCAATATTGTTAAGTGGAAAGGAAGGAGGACGCAGCAATCATCTTCCCAAAACCCTATTTCCAGTGTCTCTGTTTTTCTTGTCTCCCCCCACTCCCATGCCATAGGGGGCAGGAAGAAGAGAGACAGACAGACTGTTAATTAAGAAATAGAAAACATGTACCATGTTTCTATTGAGTTATAGAAACACAAGTGGAAGTTTGGGAGAACGAGAAATGCTGTGGGAACACGAGCCGCAGGCAAGTGTTTCAACAGCTTTTTCAAGTTCTCCCAAACTTTCACGAGTGTTTCTATAACTCAATAGAAACAAGGAGAACATGTTTTCTATTTCTTTTAGAAAACATTGCAACGAAAAAAGGAAAACAACTTGTTAACCTTGATTATCAAAATGTAAGTTCTCTTCGCTCGTGTCATCATTATGTCAACAGCTCGTGCTAGTTCTGTGTTTCTATCGAGTTATAGAAAGACAACTTTTAACCAATCAGCAAGCATATTTTCTTAGCATGACTCTTTTCTTAAGATTGTTAATAACTCTTTTCGCCATCCACAATGCCCAGGAATGTAACACTTGTGCAGAAGCTCTGAGACTCTGAGCTTGGATCAAATGCTCTGGCCAAAGCCGAACCCCCCATCCCTCCATCCATTCTCTCCAGCTTAGCATTGATACATGTAGTATTTGAGTGGGGAGGAGGGGGGGTGATAGGAGCACCTTCTAGTCTTACCTCGATTGCAACCTTTAGGGTCTCGCAGCGATCCTGCAGTTTCTCATGATTTGTCAATTCATGATCTCTGCCATTTTCCTTTTTCGCTAGCTGTTGTTTCAGAATCTGCTTCTGACCCTTCTCTGCAAATTTAGTCGTTGTAGCTTCCTTCAGTTCCTTTACTTGAGCTTCTAATCGTATTAATGTCTTCTTCAAAGACGATATGTCAGTGAGATCACTGAGAGATAATCCAGGAATTAAAAGTCTTGTCTCCTTCACGACGGAATGCATCGATTTACTTTCTGCCGAGGCTATCCTTCGCGCTCTTTCGGCTCTTATCGTGTTAAGTTTTTGCCTGAGCTGTGTGTTGTGTTTTTTCAGCTTTGCCATTTTTTCTTCCAGTTCATCACCCCTCTGTACAAAGTGCCTTACGTTCGCTTTCTCTGACAGCAAAGCCTTCAGCATTCCTTGAAGATAAACAGTTTGACTTTCACCTCTTTCTAGAGTCTCAATAAACTCTTCGTACTCGGCTTTGATCTGTGACAAGATCGACTTATAAACGACAGCTTTGCTTTCAATAAGTTGGTCAAATGCATGTTTATACACCATATAACACTCTTGCCTGCTGTAGTCCGGATGAAACTTGACTCGTCGAAGTTCATCAGCAATGTTAATTTCTATTTCTCGAAGATCGGCGCCAGGCAGCCCAATTTTCCTCTCTCTAAATTCCCTCGAACTAAGAGGTGATTTTGAGTTTCGATGTGAATACACTGAAAGTGGACTGGAAGATCTCCTGGATTGCATGACTCCAAGAGTAATCGTTTGAGGGATAAATGCCTCTTTCCAATATGACTTTGTTCCAAAAGGAACAGCATCAAAGTGCAAGTTAAAAGTCAATAATAATTTTCAGCCATAGCTTCGGGCTCTCTCCGTTGCCACAGCTGAATATTAGTCGTCAAGCGATAGAGAATAAAAGAAAAGCTCTTATTGGTTATTCAACGAAATTAGCCAATCAGAGGACGTCTTTGTTTCAGTACTTAATCGATAGACCCGCAAATTCGCGTTGATCGAAAATGGCAGAGAAGGAACTTGAATTCACTTTTCCAACGTTGTCTTCGAATGTTACAGAGGGTGAAAAGAGCCTTTCTTTGAAGGAAAAGGTTAATCTGATCGACAATGAAATTCGCCAGCTGTATGAATTTTGTACCAAAGCTGGCTACACACAGCCTCAAATAGAGCAATGTGCACAACCTCTTCTTTCCCTCCAAAGCAGAGAAAGGCACATCAAATGGCTAAGGCGGTTGTTCTCGTTTGCTATACTGGTTGCCGTGATTGCCTTTTTGTTTGCTTATGATCCTGCTTACCGTCAAATCTGTATTTATGGCAAGTTTATAGCCATGAAGGTGAAGTATACATATGGATTTCTTTTTCTTTTTCGTTGTCTTAATTTTTTTTTGAGCTTATTTTTTTCTGAAAAGTTTGCTAGACGTTAAGCTTATGTGAAAATATGAATATGAGATATAAAGACTTAGTTTACGTTTACCTGTATATTAGTATTATACTTATCGTTTGGTCAACATAGTGGTTAAAATTGTTTGTGGTGTAAAATTGTATGACCTGGTTTGAATTTTTATTTCCCTTTGTTTCAAATTAGGATAATTTATCTGCAACAAAAGGAAAGTAAAAATCAAACTGGTTGGAAAAATGTTCACACGAAAAATACATTTAAACCACAACTTAGTTATTCTTAATAACTAACTTTTATCTGCTCAAGGTATTCACAAAAAAATTTTTTTTGGCTTGATAAAATTTGCGTCTATAGCTCTAATTTTTGAAAAGTGAGTGTATTGAGAAGTTAGACTTGAGTCCTGGCTTCCAGATGCAAAGTGGTATTGTTTTGTTTATTTGTACTAGAGCTACAGTACTACCACATCATTTGGTTTTCTAAATCTCCCCACTATTAGGGCCTCCCATACTGGGACTGGACAGTTATGTACGATCGTGAGTGTGTCATTGATAATCCCTACTATGTTAATGATGAGATGACCGAAGAAGATTGCAATGTCTGCAGAAAACTCAGAAATATCAAGAGAGTTTCTAATGTTAGTCAAAGCACCATAGCTGATGATTATCTGTTCTCCAATGTTGCTGTGATTGTCACTGATGCTATGGAGGAATGGGATGCCCTGGAAAAGTTTGATGTTGATTTCTTGGCTGAGGTAAAGTCTGATTGTGGAGTTTCAAAATATTACCATACCGGAGAGAGAGTTCTCAAAAGCCAAACTTCTTGTAGGGAAGTATGAACCAAAACTGGAATTTCCAGAGGGATGAGAGGATGGGGTTCAAACCAAAAATCCCTCTGTGGGATAGATATTGATATATATATATATATATAGATAGA